AATTATCTCCCACCAGGTCCCTCCCACGACACGTGGGGATTTTCGCAACTACAATTCAAGATGAGATTCAGGTGCAGACACAGCCAAACCATATGACTTGCCATTCAAATAACTGAAATAAAGCTGCACAGATGTAAAAATTGCTAGCTCTTCATAGGTGCACATTGTCAACACTGAAAAACGGCTGTCAAACTGAATGAAAGATGTTCTTTAAAACTCAGTTTAATAGCCACTGGTCAGAAGACGCTTTCTTGATGATCCATTTCTATAGGCCAAGATCAATGTCCCCCATCCACAAACCTCCTTGAGGCTCCCCTATCTCTTTGGGCACACTATGAGTAGAATACTTGACAACAAATGATATCATTTATTTTCTTCTATGCTGATTCCATTTAAATCTTGATAACCATGGAGAAAGGTATTCCTCCATGTTTAACAGAGTGACAAGTAGTTACTATTACTTTATAAATGCTGAATAAATGTAACCATTTTATACGATGAAGTATTTTGAAATTTTTATATGCCATCAAGATTTACAAATACATACATATTAAATGAGTTTATAAACTCATATAAAAATGTACTTTTAAGATCTACAGTATTAAATAAATTTACCACAAATGAATGCTGAGTATTTCAATAAAAAAGCAGGACTAGAGCAATTAATGCAAATAATGATGAGAACAGCACAAGAGAACACTAAATCAAATTATACCAATGATCATAGAAAAGCAGAAAGGATGCTTATTTTTCTTCCTCTAAACTTTATATTTTACTGTTGAAGAGCTCAGTAAATGAGATCTTAAAGTAAATTAAGTCCCATTTATATAAGAAAAATCTTGACCCATTAGGAGAGCCTTTAACAACATTTCTACGTATATGAACATGGTAAATATAAAACAGTTGAGCCTTAATCTACTGTGTTATTGCTCTATACCTGGGAGACAAATGATCTATTTGAACAGAATAGCCTTATATCCAACCATAAAGATCAGCTAACAAAATCCAAAGCAGAACAACTCCAGTGGTAGTGATCTTTCCTGGAAAACATCTGCTGCCAGCTGAGTGTGTTTACATTTTGGCAGCATTGGCAGATGTGCTCATAGTCAGCCCATCTGTGTGGTGCCCAGAGGCTGGAGCCAGGGAAGCTGGGCTGGACAGACAACAGAGAATGAGCTTACTTAATATCCTGACTTGTTCTAGAAAATGCAAATTAGTGCCTCATAGCACTTTGTTTCTTCTTGTTCTGCAAAAAAGGCCTGAAAGTTAACTGATTTGTACGTATGGCCTAGAATGAGCAACAGCTTTTAGTTGTCCGACTGCCCTTAGGAATGTAATCATGTAGGTGTGTGATCAATATTTTAGAAAAGAGAGTAATCATTTCTGTGAAAAATAATTTAAGAAATGTTTAGAGAATAAATAAATTTTAACATTTTTCATATTTGAAAATATTAAAAATATGTAGTAGGTGGGAAAACACTGAATAAGTAAAAACTTTTACTGTGAAACTCTTATTTGTTCTCTCTTCTTGTATTGTTTATTACATTTGTTACATTCAGAAGTGTTATCCAAAGTATGTTCTTCAGAAAATAATTTCATAGCCAATAGAAGTACTTATAAAAGGATATATGGCTTTTAAAACAATAGAATTTCTATATTGCAGGTTCTCAGGTCTTTTATGATGTTAAATTATATTCTCAGTCTCTAACTAGGGAATCTATGGAGTTGTCTTCTACTGAACATGTTTTTGTGGAACACATTCTGGACTAGAATTCTTTTGTGTTTATTTGAGTAATTCTACTTTGGTAATTGAATCAGAAATCAGCAATCTGGAAGCAAAAAGTAAATAAGTAAAGAGTTATTTTCATGTTGGTATTCATTTTTTACATAATTTATTTATTGAGATTCTAGAAATTAAGCAACTAAGTGATTGAAATATTTTATCTTTTAAAAATGCGTTAAATTAGTTTTATTTCTCTTTTTTTTTTTTTTTTTTTTTGAGACATGAGTCTCGCTCTGTCGCCCAGGCTGGAGTGCAGTGGTGTGATCTCGACTCACTGCAACCTCCGCCTCCCGGGTTCACGCCATTTCTCTGTCCTCAGCCTCCGAGTAGCTGGGACTTACAGGCGCCCGCCGCCACACCAGGCTAATTCTTTTTTTTGTTTTTGTTTTTTGTTTTGTAGAGACGAGGTTTCACCGTGTAGTCAGGATGGTCTCGATCTGCTTACCTCGTGATCCGTCGGCCTCCCAAAGTGCTGGGATTACAGACGTGAGCCACCGCCCGCGCCACTAGTTTTATCTTCTCTTCTTCTTTTTTTTTTTTTTTTTTTTTTGACAGAGTATCGCTCAGTCGCCCAGGCTGGGGTGCAGTGGGTTATTTTGGGCTCACTGCAAGCTCCGCCTCCAGGGTTCACGCCATTCTCCTGCCTGTCAGCCTCCCGAGTAGCTGGGACTACAGGCACACCCGCCACCACCCGGCTAATTTTTTTTTTTTTTTTTTTTGTATTTTTAGTAGACGGGGTTTCACCGTGTTAGCCAGGATTTTATTCTTACGTCTGATATTATTTTTTTTTCTTCTCATGGGCTCATGCACAATGAAGCTAGTTTATAGAGCAAGTAATTAAGCTGACACCTTAATTTGGAGATTAAGTTACTCCTGTCCCCAGGAAGAGAGATAAATTAGTAAACAAAACAAAACACAACAAAAACAATATCAAATAGGTTAGTTTAGCTATCTGTAGCTATATGCAGAAGTTCAACTTTAAGAGATTTTTATAAACAGTTGCTAATGGAGATGAATAAAACATTTAAATTCAATCAAAATGTTTACATAGGAAGTTCATATTTAGATTTTAAAATAACTGTAATGTAATAAATTCTGTGATACATAAAGTCAGATTTGAACATAAAGGTAATCCAGCTTGCATGAAAAAAAACATAACAAGAAGAGTCAGAAGCAAGAATTTGCAGTTTTTATCCAGCACCATTCAGGGGAAAAACACTGACCTGGAAATCAAGATACTCTTTATTATTGGAAATGATTGTCCTATTGGGGGCAGGAATCAGTAATTAGACCTTCCCAAAGTCTAAATTATGTATTATTTCTACATACTTACCTATATTTTTGATCTGTACTCATTAAATAGTCATCTATTTTGCAAACTGTTTCCCAAAGAACTTCTTGGCAGCTAAGGAACCGCAGCATCAAAACGTGATGGTTAGGGAGGTGGACATTGAAGTTAGTGGTTTCAAGTCCTTGTTCTCTCATTTTTGAGCTATGTAATCTTGAGCACATCACATGACCTCTCCCTTAATCTTATCTACGAAATTATAATATTTGCAGGATCCATTTCATAGACTTGTTACTAGGATTAAATCAGTTAATACACATTAAGTATTAAAAACTATGTTTGGCCCAGAGTAAGGACAATTTAAGTCTTGATAACATATGAAGGGGGAGATTCAAATGGCTGATACACTTTTTGGATTACTATGAGTGCATATTCAAACTATTTTACACTAACATTATAGGCCTTGGTGAATTGGATTGATTTGATTCAGTAATCCGTAGCTAATAAAGCTTGTTCAAAAACTTAGAGGAATGTACATTTTAATAAAGTATATGGAAAGCCCGTACATATCCAAATGTTCATCTTGACACCTGTGTTTTACATTGTAGCATGTAATATAAGGAAAGGTGTGAATACGGTAATCTATATTTATATCATAAATTGTGTAGAACATTATAGATACTTAATTATAAGGCAAATAAAAATGTATGCTCAGTTTTTAATTCTGGGAAGAGGTTTGTAAAAATAGTGTATTTTGGAATTTCTTAAAATAAGTATTAAATATGCAAAAATTTGATACATTTTAATATTCTTGGTTAGGAAAATTTAAATCATTTTCTTTATTTGGAGACTTCTCGGTTTGTAATATACTACCATCTCTTATTAATTTCTGAGAGTATTGTGGAATTATGTGAGAACACATCATTCCTTTGCAGAGCATGTTGAACAGCAATGTTTCTCAGAATACATTTTGAAAAGGCCTGGGCTGTAATATAAAATAATAAGTGTAAAGAGAGGGATTATAGCAAATCATCCACCATTTCAGGCAAAACCATACCTAAACCTATTTTTAAATCATAAGCATTTAAAAATAATATTTGAGAGTAGGAATAAATTATTTGTAAATACTGCCTTTTAGAAAATTGCTTCAGGCATCAAAACTCATACTACAATCCTGAAAGCTCTTCCATAACATCAAAAATGGAGTTCCACATGATGAGGTCTGATTATACCCCCCAAAGTAGCTAAGAATAACCCATTGTATATGAATCTTTGAAAAACAAGGTAATAACACAAATATAAATAACATCTATATGTATTAATTATTGTCAGTGCTTCATTACTGGTCTCCAGTAAATGTTTCAAAATTGCAGAATGCTACAGTGGCTTCTTAAAATTTCTCTTAAATGTTTCTGCGGAAATCAATACAGAGTCTGAAAACAGACTTGCAAGTTATAGAAAGCCATGGAAGAAGATTTAAGCATGTAGTTTTTCGGAATCATCTCCTGGAAGGCAAATTGCAAACAATATTAAGTGGATCAAATAGCAGTCGAAATACTAAATCAAAAATCTGTCATAGAATGTGCAGTGTGTACGAACCCATTGTAGCTAAAATAACTCACTAACGTTAGTCAGTGGGAGTGTGAATTGGATATAAATGACTGTCACTTGTGAAATGCTTTATTCCCTCAACCACAAACAGAATGTACTACACAAAATATTGTTAAGGATTTCCTAATAGTCATGGAGATTTTGACATTGCTCATATTCCCATGTATACACTTACAAGTAAATGGTTTGCCTAATTGCCAACCACTAGGGCTAAGGGGAGTGGAAAATCAAAGCACTAACCAAAGTTTGTTAAAAATGATCACTTAACATTAACGTACAAAGTATAACCAAGGGCTTGGATATATGAGATAAGAAAAGCAGTGAAAAAAAGGGATTTAATTTATTTTACAATTTTACAAATGATAAAACAATAACACCCGGTTGCTATACACAAACAATAAGAAAACAGTGTTGAACAGAATGAACTTGACAGAATAAACCTCATCTTTCAATTCCACAAATTCTATAAGAAATACTCAGTAGCAATTATTGTGTGCAGCAATGCTATCTCTGTAAACTCTTTTTTTCCTGCTATTTACATTTGAAACACTTGTGCTTTTGCCTACACAAAGAAACGGTTTTTATTAAAAGGTGTTACTTAAATGAAAAACACAAGGCCTAGAGCCACAGTCTGAAAACTGTAATTCGAATACATTGCTAGCTTGAAGGCTTTACTTTTCTTCTTTATTATTATTTTTAAGATTTGGACATACTAGACCCTTACTGTAACTCTACATATGAACAACATAGAATTCAGTTATAAAGTAGATACCTCTTAAAGCAGGTTAGTAACTGAAGTCTCAAAAGAACTTCTTTATTCTAAAGTGGCCTTACTTATCTCCAGGGTAGTTCACAGTGCAGACCCTGAAGATGTTAGCATAACACAAATCTAGTGTGTACATATTACAGACTCAGTGTGTATAAACACATATACACATATATAACATTGTATATATGCATCACACATGTCTATTTGTACTATATAGTTATATCTATAGCACATATATAATAAAATATCTATTTCTAGGTGGGTTTTATTTGGATTTTCTTTCATCAAATACAAATAATAACCCTCACTCAATTTTTAAAACGTTGGGATATTGATAATGTTTGATGGGAAAACTTTCAAACTTGTAGAGATAACAACTAACTATACACAACTCTTCCCATACCCCTTCCACAATTACATATACTCCCTACAAAAACCACATGAAAACAACTCTTTTATGAACCAAGTATCACGTTATATGCATTATGTCGAACTGACTCAATTAGAAATAAATTAATTTGTTCATCCTTTTTCTGTATAGTAGCTGAATAACTAATTGGTATGTACACTACCCCTAGCATTACTTAAATAAATTGCTGTTGTAAGCATATATGTAGAAATTCCCATTAGTAATTGATATACAATTCATATGATATACAATACATGAAGACATTTGAATGCCCAGCACCTTCTTTCAGATAGAAAAACTTCCGCAGTAGTTTCATCAGTCCTGTGGGCTGAATCATTAGATTTGCCCAGAAAATCTATTACTTGCTCACTTTTCATTTCAGCAACTTAACATTAATTACAGCACAGGCTGAGTAATAACGATGAAAATGTTTCCATGGTCTATTCATGTCAACAGCACAATAACAACCATGTTCTGTAAAGGACAGGAGTATTTCACAATCAGCTGCCTGAGCATTGCCAGGTACAGGGTTAAATAGTAAAAAATAAATTAAAATATTAAAATTGTGAATATATGATATTTTCAAAGTAAAAAAAACTCCACTTATTTCAAGTATGCTTTTAAAATTTGATTTTGTTATGATCCTTTATGCTCTGCTATTGGTTAAATATCAACTCGTTTTCTTATTCTTGCCATTAGCCTTCATTGATCTTGCTCTGTTCCTATAAAAAGGCCACAGTAGACAGTGAAAGCGGGAGGGCAGATGGAAAGGTATACAACAAGGAATGAAATGGGCTTGTACGGTTTGTCTTCTTTGAACCCTAAATACTTTTAACTGAATTCATTCTTGACTATTGAAAGTTCCCTGAGATGAACAAAAGTAGTCTCAGTTGATACTGAAGCCCTTTTTTTCATGCTGAACATTTTTGGAAGTGGGCAATGTATTTAGGGAACACAAAGGATACAGTAGTAACAAAGCAATGTGAAAAAGCTAAAAAGGCACTACTCAATGCATCTATGAGATAAACATCAATGCACAGAACAATTAATGGCTGAGATATGTGTGCTGTGGCCTTAACATTGTTTAAATATATTTATTAAAAATATACTAAAAATGATCCGGCTGCAGTGGCTCACACCTGTAATCCCAGCACTTTGGGAGGCTGAGGTGGGTGGATCACTTGCAGTCAGGAGTTCAAGACCAGCCTGGCCAACATGGTGAAACTTCGTCTCTACTATAGAAAATTAGCCAAGTGTGGTTATGGGCGCCTGTAATCCCAGCTACTCACGAGGCTGAGGCACAAGAATCACTTGAACCTGGGAGGTGGACGCTGCAGTGAGCTGAGATGGCATCACTGCACTCTAGCCTGTGTGACAGAGTGAGACTCCATTTCAAAAAAAAAAAGAAAGAAAGAAAGAAAAAAGGAAGAAAATATGCTAAAAATGGCAAGGTACATTGCTGCTGCTTTTTAAAGACAAACTTTAAGTGCCCAGATGGATTTTACCTATAAGATATTTGCTTGTGACTTCTAGATTTCTGTTGGATTTAAATTAAAGGCTACTTGAACAGCTTATCATTTGCAAGTAGTCCAAATTTAGATTTTATAAATCACTTGCAATTTGTTAAGTAAACCAGACTTTTCAACTTTACATTCAAAACATGTATCTATTCTCTTACAATTTCCAATAGATAAGAGGTTTAATTATAAAAGTACATTAATGTTCCATTCATTTTTAGCTATCAGCCTCCTATACGCATTAGATTTCACTTACTTAGAGACACATACATTCTCAAAAGATGTAACATTCTATATCCCAAGGTTTTACTATATTTTTTAAAGATGGCATCTCATTAAAAATATTGAGAACTGTACTACTGTGAATATCCTTTTCCATGGTAACACACACACACACACTTCATGCTTTTTATTCATTTCTCAGATTGTTTTCCCTAAGAAACAAAACATATATATTCCCCGTGCATTTCTTCTTTCCTCAAATTGCCTCCCCAAGAAATAGGAAATCAAAGTAGAAGTGAGAATGCAGTGCTTCTGCTTTCTAAAGAAACACTCCACTATCGTAAGTTACCAGAAAACTGGCCTACCGGTCAATTCTGTTATACATTAAAAATTTTTAAATTACTTTATTAATAATTTCATGTGTTTCTTGAAGAACACATGTGATATTGTGACTAAATTTAACTACAGAAAATATTGGTCAATTAAATTCATTTTAAATGCAAAATATTGACACACAATTTCATTGTTAAACCTCTTGAAATCAATCATCTCTGTTTTGAAAACAATACTCTATTAATAATGTTATTTCTGCACTAAGAAATTTAACAGTAATATATGAAGCATTTCCATATTTCTATTTGAATAACAAGGGGAATATCAAAGAACTGGACGTCACATTTCAGCTATATCAATCTAATATTTATTCTAAAGGGCAAAATGCTTCCACAAAATTATTATGTAATGCAAAAGGTGTGAAAAACATTTCAAATGAAAATAAAGCTGAGTTTGGAAATTTAAAAATATTTAGAGACAACTTTCACATTAATAGCAAAATAATATATTCATGTTAATAATATATTATTTTCATGAAAGAAAGATGGTTTGCTGTGTAGAAACGCAAGCGTAATCTTTGGTACCAAAGATCTTTTTTTCTTTTTTTCTTTTTTTTTTTTATTCTGTCTATTTTACCATCTCTGATGACATGGAACATCTTTCCTTTAGAATGGCCTAATATTACATAGTGGTTCACTTTAGCTGGTACCTTCTACACCACTGGAAAATATTATGCAGGTTTAGAGTTGTGCAAAATAAAACTTTTTAGAAAGTCGGCCGGGTGCAGTGGCTCACGCCTGTAATCCCAGCACTTTGGAAAGCCGAAGTGGGCAGATGACGAGGTCAGCAGATCTAGAGACAATCCTGGCTAACATAGTGAAACCCCATCTCTACTAAAAATACAAAAAATCAGCCGGGCGTGGTGGCAGGCGCCTGTAGTCCCAGCTACTCAGGAGGCCGAGGCCGGAGAAAGGCGTGAACTTGGGAGGCGGAGCTTGCAGTGAGCTGAGATCACACCACTGCACTCCAGTCTGGGCGACAGAGGGAGACTCCCTCTCAAAAATAAAATAAAATAAAATAAAATAAAATCTTTGTGTGATAGCTTTTAAAAAGTATAAGAACTTTAAAAATAATTACTTAAAGTTTCTTTCCTCATTCATATGTATCTCAGAAAGGATTTCTAAGCACCCTAATACCCAAAACAAAAGAGATCCCAGAAGACAAACAAAAACATAAATTAAAACATAAAATTCATGATCAGACTCAGAGTCCTGACTGAAGGCATTTACTTGAGTTGTTTAATCTTATGGATTTCATTGCTCAAACTGCTTCCATCTTGGTTTCTGCTGACAAGGATGGTTTAATTTCCCAAGGTCAGAGTTATGTTCCTGGGGTTCCTCTTCTGATGTGCTTGGCGTTGCTGTGGGCAGCCTGACAGTGATAAACATATTTGCTTTGTTAACTAATGATGAGTGCACTGTTGGATCTTGTAAACACTACTGATTATACATTCAAACTGTATTCTTAGTGGAAGTGGCACTTACTAGGACCCTTGAAGTCAAAATATTTAATTTTTAGAGCACTTTGCAGGTATTTCATCAGCTGGTAGTCGATTTCTCATGAACGTCCTTTATTCACCTTTCAGTTAATTGGTGGATGCTGAAACCCAGCCGTGTTTTGGATCCTATTTTCAAATCTCCGGAAGCATCTTCAGAAAAGAAGTGCATATTGTTTGTTTCAAAATGTGCTTTATTGCTTTACACACTTTCCTGTTGTCAGTTTTAGAGCTCCTCTATTATGTAGCACATTTAATGTTTTGAATTCCAATGGCATTCTGTGAGGGCTTGCATTGGAAAAGTACCTATATTTTAAATCATCATAATAATGATATTTGACCGCTTTTCCATTTAAATCCTTAGGGAATGGCCAGAATCCATACAGGTGAATTTCATCACAGAATCTTGTGGCAAGTGTATACATGAGGAGACCTGTGCTGGGTCTTTTGATAGGAACTTTGTTGGTCAGCCAGTAACTGGAAAAACAAAAAACAAAATCAAGAAGAGAAGAATTTAGAGAAACAGAGCATATCCTATAGCAAGCATACAACGCAGAAAACTTAAAAAGTATCTTTATGAATAATATTTTAAAGAATTACTGAAGAAATATTTCTAAGCATTTAGAAAATTTGATGCTTTTATTTTATTTTTTCTTTAATCTTTATTCTCTTTCTTATTCTTGAGGTCATATAAATATGCAGGGGACCTGGAATGTAGGTGAATATTACTCTAGAAACTCACCTTTGAAATGAATCAATAGCAAATATTTATATAATATGCAGAGTAAAATCTTCTCAAAAGGGACTAAATATGACTGCAGAAGTCATGGTAACTGGGTAAAGATTAAATAATCTTCCTAGAAAAAAATAGTTTGAAACTATGCCTATAGATTTTCAAAATGTATGATATTGCAATTAAAATTCCAAAGAAATAAATGCTTTATCTGTGTTATATCAACTGATTTATTCAGCTCTAATTTTCCAAGTCACAAGGTACTAAAGCAAATTAGAAGCCTTAGTTCCACTCATAAATAAAAAAAGTTGTAGAATAATTGATAGTTTTCCACATACACAATTCAACATTTTGTTAAATAGATAAAATATATTTCAATGCTGATAAGTACTTTACAGGCAATAAAGCACTTCAAAATGTTTAAATCCATAATTGCTGTCAAACATTCATGTGAAAAGCACACAAACTCACATCTCTGGAAGAAAGGAGATTTCCAATATTTCTTGACATGTTCATTTCCTTAAGGACAATGATGTTTTTTGAAAACAGCTGAGTGTGGATTTTTCTCTTACTTTCAAAGTTGTCCAATTATAAACACAAAAACTTAATAAGTTTAAAAATTATTTTGTTTTTGCTATTGTCTTCTATTTGGAGAGATATGTACTCTGCCATCCAGATGTAAGGGAAATATGTGAGATCCCATTTGTTGCTGTATTTAATAAACTTGCTTTAGATTTCACATATTATTTTCTTTTTCTCTAAAACTTTTATAAAGCTTTCCAGGGGAGATAAAATATATCTAGATTACTGAATATGAAAAAACTTAAAGTGAGATGTTACTTCATTTCCTTAAATAAATTTATACTTTCAAACCTCACTGGAAACATCCAAAACAGGGAAAATATACCTCACCATAATAATTCTATATTTTGTCTTTCATTTTCTCGCTTCTCTGAATCAGGAATGGCCTTACACATCTTCTATTTTTCTCATTTACTGAAGGCCGTGGGCTAAATATTTTGAGCTGTATGAAATGTGTTATGAACCATTTATTATCACAATTGTTTTGAGAACGTCTGTAATCAGTAAAGAAGATTTTCTAAGAAATTTTCAGAGAAGAACATCTAGGAATTTTCTCATAACTCAGAGTAACTTAATGAGCAAAACCATAACTTGTACACTATTAACATAATGAAGAAACCATAGAGAGTGATTCTATGCAAGGAGCATAGTCAAACTTCTTTGAAGACTTTGAAGAAACTATGATATGGCCTGAAGCTCACTGGGCTCTGAGAAAACAAGTGTTTTTTAACATGAAATAACGATTATAGGAAAGTATTGCGAATGTGATCTTATGTGAAAGCATTGTGAACGTGTATGGTTACAGAGGTTAGGTGATGCAGTTGGTTAGTTAAAAAAAATCTATCTTTATAAATTTTTAAAGTAAGCCAAGCAAATTCATATTCAGTCAAAAAGAAAAGAGTATTACCATTAGGCAAAGTCAATGATTAGGAATAATTTGACAGTATGAGGTTCATGCTGAATTATTTCTAAAGCGAGAAAAATGCTACTATATTACTTGTATGAAACTCCAAACTTCTTATTATCAATGAATGCTTTCCATTTCCTAATTCTGGAGAGATTTCCTCAAGGTTCATGTAACTATGGTTGCTCATTGACAAATACCAAAGCAATTTCTACATGCAATACAAATAAGTAACTACAATGTTAGAAATGCTGAAGGCAAAATTATTTTCTTTAAAATGGTGTCAGAGATGAGCAATCACTCAACCTTTTTTGATTCAGCGCATCTTATGAGATACCACAAATAGAATATCACTGAAGTGTCTTGAAAATGAAACTGTGATTGCGAAGCATCTTATTTGAAAGTAATGGGTAGAGTGGCTTTAAAACCTTTCTGTGGTCTTGTTCTAGATAAATTAATCTATGCAGTTAAAATACAGAATTAATTTAGCTTTAATTCAGCTAACAGAAAAATAAACTTTGCGATATTTCATTTGCAACACTTTGAATAATTTCAAAGAAAAATATACAATCAATATTTCAGGACATTTTTGAAGAAACAACATAAAATAAATGCCACTTATCCTATTGATTTCTAAAAAGTGTCACAGGAAAATACACCTTAATAAATGACATCAATATGTAACAGGTAAGTTGAAAAATACCTTAAGTCAGGCAATAAGTAATAACTTTCTAAAAATTTAAAAACACAGAACTGATCAGTCAATAAGACTATATTTTGTGTTTATTATCAACCTAATGTTGTGTATGAAATTATATAGGCCAATCTAAATTATAGTAATTCAGTATTAAACCAGTAACAAATTCCACATGTGAAAAGAACAAAAATAGATATTCTTTTAAATTCTGTTAGCATATTTGGTTAGATAATAATTATCAGCATTAAAAGCTAGAGCCCAGACTACAATTTTGAAATCTATACCTGAATGTATACACCTATATACAATTTGATATTTGAAAACTGCAGATTCTTATGGAGTCTATCAAAAAGAGATAGAATATTAACTTGTGTTTCATCCTCATTAGGAAGAATAATAAATTGAAAATAATGCATTATAAAATAATGGAATAGTCACACTGTTTCAGTATAGCATGTTCTAATTTTTATCCCAAATATACATGTTATAGTTTAAAATTTAGCAAAATTTTAAATTCAACCAAAAATTTAGTTTGCATACATGTATTTCTTTCTATGTAAATTGATTTTTTTGTGTGTTACCAAATCAATGTAAGCTCCTTGTAGAAAATTTGAAGGAAAAAAAAACTGAGTAAAAAAAATATTACCTATAATCCATACACATAAAGATAATTACTGCTATAATATGCGACATTCTTTTGCTTCTCTGGTTGATTTGGATCTTAATATATGTTACATTCATACATAGACATATACAAGTTATTTTTCATCAGAGAGACTTTGTTTTATTTTTAATATTATTAATTTCCTTTCATTCTTCCTTTCTTCCTTCTTTCCTTCCTTCCCTCCTTTCTTCTTTCTTTCCTTCCCTTTTGTTTTATGATTATACTTTCTTCTGTTGTATGAAACATTCACTCTGGACTTTATGTGTAAATAGAACATTTATAACTTTTTAATAAATTTGGTAGCCTCTGTAGATCTCACTACTCTCTCACATACAAAACAGAGCATGAAAGCTCTGTTTTGGCTAAGTGAGGTGTCTTATATACTCTTGCTCCAACATGGTAGTTCCATTTCTTACATCAAAGAAACTCAAAATTTGTAATGGCTCTACCGACCAAATCAGTGTGCTATAGAAGGCTATATTTATAGTCAGTAGATGCAGCTTTGAATCTGTGATATGTTTATAAGTACTTGAGAAAGCTGCTTCCCTTCCTTGGAGCCCAGTTAACAATATTTAACATAAAAGGTTGTGATGCTGTAAAAGAGACAGTAAAAGTAAAAGAATATAAAACTTGACACATAATAAGTAATACTACTTGGCTCTCAGCATATCCCAAAACAATCATTCTTCAGTCCCACTCACAAATCCCACTTCTCTCTTGGAAACTTCTGTGACTACTTATTGGCTGGACAATTGTGGTCACGTTGTTTAACCTCAATGGACATATTTCCTTAATTGTGAAACAAACATTTAATTTATGGCTTTGGGGTTTCCTCTATAAAATTCGATTGTAGTTTCAAATCTTCTCTCTCCATGAAATTGTGTGAAACACTCTTATTCCTTGTCTCCTTTCTCCTCACAATTTTGTTCCCTCTCCTTCCTTCAGGTTGTAGTACATTGCAGAGAAAAGAAGTTACCTAATAAATGCTTACTGATTTTAAATCCAGTAATATTTTAGATTGTATCTCATAATAATAGCAGATAATAATCACCTGATGAGTCAAAATACCTGATTATTTCAAGCAACCACAGTTCTAGAACAACAATGTTATAATTAACAACATTGACACTAAGGAGAGCTCACATTCAATATATTGACAAACAAGGAAAATTAGTTTGTGTTTATATTTAAATAAAGAAGTCTAAATTTTTAGAAGTATAACATTGGTGCAAAAGTAATTGTGGTTTTTGCTATTGAAAGTAATGGCAAAAACTGCAATTAATTTTATACCAACCTAATAATGATAGTTTTTTTCCTCTTAAAATGTTAGTCTTCTTCAAAAAATCAAATGTGATAATTTCTAGAAGAATTTGAATATCAAGGATGGAATTTCACTGTGCCAACAGTTGTAATTTAATGTTATATTATAAACAAAGTTTCCATTAATGAGCCCAGAAATTCTTCTATCTGGAATGTGAGATGAAGTGTATAACAAAATATACCTTTATATTCTTAATTCAGGAGCTCCTCTATTTCTCCTCTCATATTTATCTTCCAATAACTGAGATTTGTGCTTGATTCCACTGGAAGACTATGTCACAGGTTAAAAAAATGGTTTTTGGTTCTTCTAGTCTACAGTAATTTGAGATATTATAAAATAATTGGCTTTTTTGTTGTTGATTTTTTTTGAGACAGAGTCTCGCTCTGTCACCCAGGCTGGAGTGCAATGGCGCGATCTTGGCTCACTGCAATCTCCGCCTCCCGGGTTCAAATGATTCTCCTGTCTTAGTCTCCCAAGTAGCTGGGATAACAGACACCCACTACCACACCCAGCTAATTTTTTTTTTTTTTGTATTTTTAGTAGAGACTGGGTTTCATCATGTTGGCCAGGCTGGTC